AATTTTGTTATGGTCCGTCAAAAATAAAGGGTACCTCTTTAGTCATCCACTGGCCCTTCCAATTTTTATTGAACCTATTCTGACATTGTATGAGATTGAAAAATTATTGAAAGTAGTTCAAACCCGAGTATTATCGACTAAGACCCGAAGAATCCAGTTTCCATATGCCGTAGATCTATTTCATGGGCCTTTAAAATTAACAGGTACCTTCTAAGTCATTCACTGTCCCTCTCAATTTTTATTAAACCTATTTTGACCTTGTATGACCTTAAAAAATTAATAATAGTAGGTGAAAACCAAGAAAAATTGAATTAGGCCCAAAAAATCCATTTTCTTTATGCCCCCAAATTTTTTGATGGACCTTAAAAATCAAAGAGTACTTTCTTAGTCATCCGTCATGCCTCTCAATTCTTATTGAACCTATTTTAAACTTGTATGACGTTGAATAATTAATAAGAGTAGGCTAAACCCAAGTATTACCGATTAAGGCCCAAAAAATTAGGTTTCCTAATGCTTTCAAATTTTTTTATACCCCCTCGAAAATGAGAGGGCACCTTTCGTGTCATTTGCCGTCCCTCTTAATATTCATCCCACGGATTTTGACCTTGTGTGACCTTAAAAAATATAAAAAGTAGGTCATCCTCAAGTAAAATTGATTTAAGCCTAAAATATCAGGTTATTTTATGCCCTTAAATGTTTTTGTGGTCTTTTAAAAGTACAGAGTACTTCCTGAGTCATCCTCCGTCCCTCTGAATTTTCGATGAACTTATTCTGACCTTGTATGACCTTGAATAATTAGTGAAAGTAGGTCATACCCAAGTATTATCGATTGAGGCCTTAAAAATCAGTTTTCTTTGTGCTCTAAAATTTTTTATGGTCCTTAAAAATTACAGGGTTTTTCCTAAGTCATCTACTGAACCTCTTAATATTTATTGAACTTATTTTAACGTTTACTGACCTTGAAAAATTAATAAGAGTAGGTAAAAACCAAGTACAATATATTTAGGCCGAGAAAATCGAGTTTCTTTATGCCCTGAAATTGTTTTATTGGCCTTAAATATTGAAGGGTACCTTTTAAGTCATTTGCTGTCCTTCTTATATTTTATTAAGCAAGCTTTAAAAAAAAGCTTTTTTTTACCTTGTATGGACTTGAAAATAATGAAAAAGTATGTCAAACTCAAGTAAAATTGATTGAAGTCCAAAAAATCAGGTTTTTTATGCCCTCAAATTTTTTTATGGTCTTTAACAATCAAAGGTTACCTCCTAAGTTATCTACTGTTCCTCTTGATTTTTATTAAACCTATTTTGACGTTGTATGACCTTGAATTATTAACGAGAGTAGGCTAAACCCATGAATTACCGATTGAGGCCCAAAAAATCAGGTTTATTAATGCTTTAAAATTTTTTTATAGCATCTCAAAAATTACAGGGACCTTTTGATTCATTTTCCGTCCCTTTAAATATTTATTGAGCGTCTTTGACCTTCTGTGATCTTTTAAAATATAAAAAGTATGTCAAACTCAACTAAAATTGATTCAAGCCTAAAAAATAAGGTAATTTGATGCCCTTAAATGTTTTGATGGTTTTTTAAAATTACATAGTACTTCCTGGGTCATCCATCGTCCCTCTGAATTTTTAATGAACCTTTTCTGACCTTGTATAACCTTGAAAAAATAATGAAAATAGGTCAAACCCAAGTATTATCGATTGAGGCCCATAAAATCAGGATTCTTTATGCCTTTACATTTTTTTATAGTCCTTAACAATACCGGGGTACCTCCTAAGAAATCCATCGTCCCTCTCAATATATATTGAACCTATTTGGACCTCGCATGACATTGAAATATCAAGAAAATTGTGTCAATCCGAAGGATAATAGATTTAGGCCAAAAAAATCAGGTTTCTGTATGCCCTCAAATTTTTTTATGGTCCTTAAAAAATAAAGGGTTTCTCCTCAGTCTTTCACTGGCCCGTTCAATTTTTATTAAACCTATTCTGACCTTGTATGACATTGAAAAATTATTGAAAGTAGGTCAAACCCGAGTATCATCGATTAAGGACCAAAAAATCCAGTTTCCATATACCGTAGATCTATTTAATGGGCCTTTAAAATTAACGGGTATCTTCTAAGTCATTCACTGTCCCTCTTAATTCTTATTAAACCTATTTTGACCTTGTATGACCTGGAAAAATTAATAATAGTAGGTGAAAACCAAGAAAAATTGATTTAGGCTCAAAAAATCCATTTTCTTTATGCCCCCAAATTTTTTTATGGGCCTTAAAAATCGAGAAGTACTATCTTAGTCATCCGTCGTGCCTCTCAATTCTTATTGAACCTATTTTAAACTTGTATGACCTTGAAAAATTAATGAGAGTAGGCTAAACACAAGTATTACCGATTGAGGCCCAAAATATCAGGTTTCCTAATGCTTTAAAATTTTTATATACCTTCCCAAAAATTAAAGGACACCTTTTGTGTCATTTTCCGTACCTCTAAATATTCAATGCACGGATTTTGACCTTGTGTGACCTTGAAAAATATAAAAAGTAGGTCAACCTCAAGTAAAATTGTTTTAAGCCTAAAAAATAAGGTTATTTCATTCCTATAAATGTTTTTGTGGTTTTTCAAAATTACAGAGTACTTCCTGAGTCGTCCTCCGTCCCTCTGAATTTTTGATGGACGTATTCTGACCTTGTATGACCTTGAATAATTAATGAAAGTAGTTCATACCTAAGTATTATCGATTGAGGCCTTAAAAATCAGGTTTCTTAGTGCTCTTGAATTTTTTATGGTCCTTAAAAATTTCAGGGTTTTTCCTAAGTCATCTACTGAACCTCTTAATATTTATTGAACTTATCTTGACGTTGACTGATCTTGAGAAATTAATAAGAGTAGGTAAAAACCAAGTACAATAGATTTGGCCGAGAGAATCGAGTTTCTTCATGCCCTGAAATTGTTTTTTGGGCCATAAATATCGAAGGGTACCTTTCAAGTCATTTTCTGTCCCTCTTAATTTTTATTAAACTTATTTTTACCTTGTATTGACTTGTAAATAATAAATAAGTATGTCAAACTCAAGTAAAATTGATTGAGTTCTGAAAAATCAGTATTTTTATGACCTCAAATTTTCTTATGGTCTTTAAAAATCAAAGAATTTCCAAAAAAAAATTTTGAAAAATCTCCAATTTGTGAAATTTTGAATTCCTGAAAATTGTCAAAATTGACCGTCGACAATAAATTTTTGGCTCAAATTTTTTTGTGTACTACCTTGTACCAATCTTAAAAGATCCTGAAATTTTTGGAATTGTGTTTTTTGTTTTTTCAAAAATATGAATTTTTGAAATTTGTTAAAAAAAAATTTTTTCTTAAATTTTTTTTTTTTTATTCAGTTTGGCAAATCGCGTAATTTTGATATTTTGAACAGTTGAAATTTCATTTAGTGGCATAATGATGAGAAAAAAAACATTAATGACATTTTTTGGGATCATTTTCAAAATAAAACTCGTAAAAAAAATGATACTGACACCTGTATTATCATTTGATGTTAAAGTAGAAGAAGTGGTGACATCTGTGGCGTGACGTTTGAATCTTTACGTGTAAGATAAAGTTAACCTTTCTGATTTTTATTTACCTGTGCAAATTTAGCACCTCATCTAAGGATCTGCGAAGTGCAAATGAGCTTAATCGATAGGTCTACATTAGGTCTGTATAGGTCCATCAAAATTTTCGTTAGGTCCTTTATAGTTTTTTTATAAATAATTTTTTTAATTTTAATGAAAAAAAAATACATTTTAGCACCTCATTTAATGAAAAGCTGACCAATTTAATCATAATCGTATTCTTTATCGTTAGGTCCGTATTGGTCCATCATTTTGGTTGTTAAATTATTTGTTTTATTTATTTAATTGATAATTATAAAATAATTAAAAGCTGCACATGCGCATATCATGCATAAATGGCGCGAAATTTAAATTGCTCCCGTATCTTTTTTTTATTGAATCAATAAATAAAATTTCTCTTAAAATATTTAAATCCACGCCGCGTGAAGATAAGAACCTTAAATCCATGCCGCGTAAATATAGGGGCCTCAAATCCACGCTGCGTGAATATAAGGACCTTAAATCCACGCTGCGTGAATGTAAAGGACCTTACATTCACGCTGCGTGGATTTATCAGGGTTTTTTTACGTATCAATAGACACTTCTATCCTGTAATTTTAAACGGTTCCTTATTAAGATGCTGCTGTTGTTGATTACATGTACATATGGGTATAAATAAACACATGCGAAATATATTTTTGTACCTTTACGGAGCGTATTAACTATATATGTATACGCTATAATAAATGCATATGTATTGTGACACACAACTACTTGTACACAAGTTTTCTTACTCATTTATTTTACTTTATTCGTTATCGTTCTCTATTATTATTTATATTTAATAATGATATTTACAATTATACACAATTATTTTCTTACTGGATTTCTGTCGGTGGTTCGTCTCTTAACCTAATAATAATCATTATGGAGTGTCAAGATATCTCTATCCTTCATAATTTTCATAACAATATAACTAAATTTGTGATACAGTTGAATTAATTGTCCACTTCGAGATTAACCTCCAAGTAAGTAATTAAATCATTTTCAATTAGCTAATAATCTGAAATTAGTCAACTGTTATTAGATAATAATAATTTCATTGATATTTTTATATAGTAAATTGACTTTCAAATAAAAGAGCTACGACCTGTATGAGGAAACAACAACGTCATTAAATAAATTGTTGGAGCACTAATATATATTGCATTACTTTAAGTGATAACTGTGATACTGCTTTACTTCATTTATTGATATACGTTGAAATTAAAGAAGTTTTAAAAAACTTAAAGAAATTAAAGTAAAGAAGGCTTCGTGTGTTTGTAGAGGTTATGTTTATACAAATAAATAACAACTATTATTTATATAACTTGAATTATTTACAACAACAATAATAAAGAATGATGGAAGTATTAATTACAAAATGTGAGGAAAAATTTACAAATGCTGCCCTAGAGGAAAATATCGTAAGTTATTTAATTCAACTTTATTTCTTATGTTTTATTATATTTTATTATAAATAATTAATTTTTTTTTTTTAATTTTATTAGAGACTTTATGGCAGAAAATTAAATGAAGCGAGAAAATTAAAATTACACTTCGGATCTAGCTGGAGATCATTTTTGGTATCGTTAGGACAAAAGAGGTAATTATAATGTAGTTATAATGTATGAAAAAAATCGTTGGAATTTTTCTTATACAAAAATTAGAGATCTGACAATTTTTAGGGTTTTTTTTTTATGAAATAAATAATTATATGCGAATAATAACGAAGTTAACAGTCATCTGACATCTCGAAATTTTTTTTTATTTATCTAGATGAGGAATTTTCAATAAAATTTTTTAGTAATAATTAATTATTACTAAAAAAGTATTGAGACAAAGAAAAAAGTATTGAAAAGAATTGGATTGACTAGAAAACCAATTCTTTTCAATACTTTTTCCTTTGTCTCAATACTTTTTTTTAGTCAGGGTTAAGTTGATATAAAAATATAGAAAATTAACAGATGTCTGTTAACTTCAGTATCATTATAAGCGAAGTTTTGAAGTGACTTCCACTTCCAGAAATTACAAAAAAATGATCGATGCAATCTTTAAACATTTTTTTGATAATCGTTTATTTTTCTAAAGCCCAGGAATGATTATCATAAAAAATTAATTTTTTTTTTTTTTTTAATTGCTTTGCTTAATAGTATTGTTCAATATTTTGGTAATGCATTTATTTCCATAAATTTTTATTAATTATATTTACTAATTTTCATTAGGGTAATGGCGAATGTATCTTGTGATATTCAACAGCCGAAATTATCTCGTCTAAATGAAGGATTGTCGAATATGAATGTCGAGTTAAATCTACTGGCAGCAGCGCACTTTGAAGTTGGAAGACAGTCTGAAGTCGGTGTAGCTTTAACAAGGCAACTAGAAAGATGTTTCAAGGACTCTAGGTGCCTTGATATGGAATTTTTATGCATTGTCGTCGATAAAAAAGTAATTATTCTTAGTTTATTATAAAAAAAATAATTAATAGTACACAAAAGTCTTTTTTAGAAACTTATAACCAATTTTAGAAACACAAAAATATTTTTTCAGTGATACCGAAATTATCTGACATCTAGCAATTTGTTAGATGTACTTATTAATTGAATAAAAAACCGACAGTTTAATCACGAAAATTAATTTTGATAGTTTTCAAAATTTCTGCGTGATATGTTTTTTTTTTATTTTTCAAATTAAGTTATTTTTTATTTCAATTTTTTTTTTCCTTTCAGAAAATAACTTTTTAATTTATTACTCATCAGTTTATGAAATTAAGAATACTTTCATGTCGCTTTTCTCAAGATTATAATTTTTTTACACAATACTTCTATGCCTTCAATATGAACTCTTCAGAAATAAAATAAATATTACAAACTTTTTTTTTAGTCTTTTAATTTTTCTAATTCTAATTAAATTTTTTATTTACAGGTATGGAATATCAGAATCGACATGAATGTAATCAATCACGATGGTAATTTGGTTGATTGCTCTCGCATAGTATCTTTGTCTGTCTTATCACATTTACATCGTTCTGATATTACTTCAATTCGAGATGGTGTTATTATACACTCATTTGCTGAGGATCTATTGCCTTTGAAATTGTTTCATCAACCTGTTGGTGTTTCGTTTTATATGTTTGAGAAGTAAACTCCTATTTATAATTCCTAGAATATCTATTTCAATAATAATAATAATAATAATACTATTATTAATAGTGACGAGTGATGGTAATTATCAATGATTAAAAAAATATTTATTTAAATGAATTTTCTAAATTAATTTCTGAAAACTATAATAATAGAGAAATTTTTGACATTTTCCTTAAATGAACTGTAAAGAGAATTTTTATTTTTTTTTTTAAATGTCATTTCATTTTTGATAAAATATGTTTTACTAGATTATGAAAAAAATTTTTTTAAGCTGTTATTTAAGATGATATTTAGAGATCTTCGATTTTTGATAGTTAATAAATATTTTTGAAAAATTTTGACTTAAAAAATATTAATCAATATCGATCAATACTGTCAATCATCCAGAGTACCTTAACTCACTAACAGAAAAAAAAAATTATATTTTTGCTATGAATTGAGTAAGTTAAGTACTTTTAAAGTAAATGTAGAAGACAATTAATTTAAGTTTTCTTTTTATCTTAAATTTGAATGAATGAATGAATGAATAAATTTTTTTTTAATTTAAAAAAAAAATGACAACGTAGAAGTTATTTCATTTTTAGAAATAACTATCTAACATAATGATAATTAATGAAATTTTAATTCCAGTGGAAAAACAGTAATGGACCCAATATAAATTGAAGAAAGATTGGACGTCATGCAACTAGCAATGGGTTTGAATGCGTACCACGAGTTTGTAAATTTTTCATTCGCTGATAAATCATCGTTGTCTAAAGTCTTAACAGACGTTTCAGCGTCTGTAAAAACTGTAGCAGTTGAACATGCTGTTGATATCATTAAGCAGATTCGGGATGCTGATACTCTCGATGTACAAACAAGGTATTGAAATCATTTAAAAAAAATTTTCTTTTTTTTTTTTAAACTTCAGAATTATTACACATAGTCTCAGATTAATTAATTAGTTAATTTGTATTTTTATTTAAAACACTAAAAGAATATACATTTCGACAAATAAAAAATGATAAAGTATATCGGACAACCTAAATCAGCATTAGTTGATTTTATTTGCAGTAGAGTTATGCTTAACATCTTGCCACTAAGTACCCTCGATGATATTCTAATCGTAATTATTGAAATTAAAAATTATGAATTCGAAAAAATTAATCTCTAAATTTTTTCACTTTTTGAAAATATAAATACAAATAAATTGAAAAAAAAAATATTAGTTTCGTTAATTTAAATAAAATTATTAGCTTTAAAATATCGGTGTATAAAATTTTTTTTTTTTAATTTTTAATTCGTCAAATTAATTTTGCAGTTCAATATTTAAAAAATTATAAAAAAAATTAAATAGATATTTGGCAAGTTCTAATTATAAAAAAGATTTAATTATGAAACCACGATTCCGCATTGTGGATTCATATTTCTTTATTTTAAAATTAAAAATGGCGCCAATAAATCATGAAAAACAACGATAATCAAGACTTGACTCTCGTTTCAATTTTTTTAGGTTTTTGGGGTATAAAAAATATTTTTGAAGTAAAAAATTTTTTTTCGCTATTTTTTTTTTTTTTTAAAGAAAATTACTGACTATGATTATTTTTATAAGAACAATATTTTAAATATAATCCAAGAACGTCACGACAGAGTTTAAAAACAAAAGACAATCAGCATCGATATACTTTGCTTGAAAACAGTCTATGCGTAGTATATACGTGGATAAATAAATTGTTTAAGGATTGTTGTTCATAGTTGTATTTCAAGATTATTTAAAATTTTACTTAATTTAATACTTCAATTGTGATGTAATAATAATAAGGTATCTATCAAACTACTAAATTATCTATCAAAATATCTGTGGTAATAATACGTTAAATTTTTATCTTGAGTAAAGGATATTTTTTTATGTACATTTGTTGATAATAATTATAAAATAGATCAGTATTGTTTACAAAAGTGTGTTCTTTTTTTTTTTTAAGGATATCTAGAGATGCCAAGGAAAGCAAGAGTATCTGTGAATGACGCTGTGGAAGTGATAAAAGAATTTATTATAGCAGGAAATTTCAAAGACAATAACTTTCCAATCAAAAGCTCAGAGATATGGATTCAGATGAGTCTCCGGTTTGATAATAAATGGAGTGCAAGAGATGTATATCGAGAAGTAAGAGAAGACAGAAGAAAAATTCTCACAAAAGCTCGCGAACAAGTTGGCGTTCCTGTAATTAATACTAATTCAAGTAGCATGTTGTTTGAAGAAGATATTTTATCTGATATGGAGAGTGAAAATTTGTCCGATTCTGGTGACAGTGACTGGGAAGCTCCAGGATTGGAAACAGTTTTACTTTCTATTTCCGAAGAACTTTTCAAAATTTTACATGAGCGAGAACCTGTGTGCTATAAAAAAAGGAACTACACAATATTAGAGCGTTTCAAATGGACAGGTATATTGGCCGAAAAAATTTATTTGCTTACTCATATGCCTTGCTCTTTTGCATTTAAAAATTGTAAAATTTATCCTGATGAAGGAAGTGTTCATTATTTGACTATACGAGGGAAATGCCAAAGTAAAGTATGCGGCAATAAAATTTTTTGTTTTTTGGATAAAAAGCCGTCGAATTTTCCTTGTGATCTCCGAATTAGAACGAAGGATACGTTTGCCCAGCCCCATGAAGATATACGTAGACCAACTCGTAAATTTGAACGGCTCAAGATTGGAGAACAAGCACTTAATGAAGGAGTTGGGAACTACACAAAACGTCAAGCTGCTCTACATGCGCAAACAAATAAACGTCTACCCCCTATCCTTCCAAAACAAAACATTGTTAGACAGTGTAAAAATGAATTCATCCATTACAAACTAGGTGTAAAGCCAGAAGATGGACGCGATGTCGTGAATACGATTGAAAAAAATGCGATATGATCCATCATATCCTGAATTTATTCAAGACGTTAAGAGAGATAAGTTTTATGTCATATATAGCACACGGAATCAATTAGTATCATATAAACGTTATTGTCGATTGAATAAAATATCTCGAGTAGCTATTGATGGTACTGGTAGTATCATACAACCAATAACTTACCTTAATGGAGAAAAATCTGGTCACATATTTTTATACGCCATCGTTATTAATTTTAATAAAAAAAGTCACTCTGTTCATCAATTATTGACAGAATGTCAGAGTACACAAACTTTAATCTGCTGGCTAAAATCTTGGCTTTATATGGGAGCACCTAAGCCAACAGAAGCCTGCTGTGATAGTTCTAGAGCATTGATTAACGCGCTCTCATTCGCATTTAATGATCTATCAATAAAAACATATATTGATACTTTGTATCTACGAGCTATTGGTGACACATCTCACATTTCTAGACCATCAATTTCGACCTTTATTCGTCTTGATGTTGCTCATTTTGTACACATGATAAGTGAATGGAAGTGTTTAAAAAATCAAAAAAATTCACTAGTTAAAAAATTTTATCTGTATGGTGTAGCTCTCATGATAGATAGTCAAAATGTTGAAGAATTTGAGAAGATATTTAGACTAATCTGTATTGTTACCATGAATGAACGTGATGATTCAATTATGAAAAGTACTGGACAAACAGTGGCCCAAGCCCGACATCAGTTGAAAATATTTATCGCAACTAGGGATCTCTCTCTAATTGTTAATAAGTTGGAGTCAAAAGAAATTGACGAAACTAAAATAAACAATGATCCAGATAAAGAAGAAGATCAAAAATGGAGCGAGAACTCAAGCGAACCTAGCCCTGTCAAAACATTTATAAACAATATCTATAAATCAGCAAAGGATATCAAAACATTGGGCAAAGCTGCTAATGCATATTATGCTGAAGATTTTATGAAAGAATTTTTGGCGAAAGCTTATGAATTTCCATTGTGGACGTCTGCATGTTTTCCTAACCAAGTTGAACATGCAACAACTAGCTACGTTGAGCAATTTTTCGGAAATAAAAAAGAAAGAAGCTTGATAAAATGGAACAGTTTAGTACGTGCAGATGTTTTTTTAAAACATGAGTATCAAGAATATACTGGAAGTTCTGCTGAATTACAATCAAATTTGATTACCGAAAAAGAACGCGAGGATTTGAACAATAAAAGAAAACAAGATGAGAATGAATTGAATAAAATTTTAGATAATAATAAGCAGAAAAAAATTATGATTCCTCTGATAATTTAAAACAAAATAACATTAATCAAATATTCAATAATGACAAATTAGTTGATAATACTAGTATTATTATAAACGACTCCGACAAAAACATTCCATTCACTTCTACACCTGAAAAAAATTTTGACATTGATTTAAATATTCAAATAAATAGTCTAGAAAATAGTGAACATCTAAAAAATGATTCTAATGATTTAAAAAATAGTGATGGACTTTATCAAAATGAAAGTAGTGATTCTTTAAAAGATGTTGAAAAATCGGTGACTGATTGTAATTTTACATTAAGCAATATGTCTGATGGAATACTTTTGAGTAGTATAGACTTTGAAGATGGGACTAACGACAAGCTACCGTCTACTGCAATAGATGAAAATAATAGAAAAATAATTAAAGATATTTCTAAAAATGAAGAAAAAATATTGGATGATTCTGATTTGATTGCAGTTGATAATTGGAGAAATAAAGGTCGACAATCTCGTTATGATTACCACAATTCTTTGAATAGCAGTGACGAAGAGAATGACAAATCAGCTGTAAAAGTATTTGAAAAAAAAATCATTGCGTCACCTAAAAAATTAGCAGTTTACAATAGCAGTGACGAAGAGAGTGACTTATCAGCTGTATTTGAAAAAAAAATTACAGCATCACCTAAAAAATTAACAGTGATAAATAGCAGTAACGAAGAGAATGACATATCAGCTGTAAAAGTATTTGAGAAAAAAATTATAGCATCACCTAAAAAATTAGAATTATTACCACAAAAAAACATTTTGAATAAATTGTGCAGTGTTAATGAAAATAAAACTAAAATTTAATCATCCTCCACACATGTAAACTTACACAATGAATTGAAAAATATAAGAAAAAAAGAAGCAAATGCCACAGAAAGTAATCGAAAACATCTAGGTTTCCACTTCCTGCAGACACCTGATATCTTAGACCAAACAATAACCCCGGAAAACACTAATAAGACTAGTACATTTGACACTAAAAAGAAAAAAAAGTTGGGAATTTTACAAAATGGTAATAAGCGGAACCCCATATCTCTAAAAGGAATTAATGTTTTATTATTTAATACTTGTGCGATTGATTCGATTATACATGTTCTAGCTGTAACTGGAAAAGATGATCCGCAGTTTCTAAAATATATGAAAGAGAATTCAAATCAAACAATGAAATTTATTTGTGAATTTATTGATAAAGGACCAGTCACATCAGTATATAAAAGTCGAACAGTGTTATTATCTCAGTTATTTAAAGATAGAATTGTAGAAAAAAATAAAGAATCTGTTTTATATGCGAATGAGATAGATATGTGGTCTAGTATTTTTGATATATGGACAAGATGTTTTCCTAATTCTGCGTGTTTTAATCACGATTGTAGAATATGTGGCTTGCATAAAGTACCTGTACCAATGGTACAGGTAAACCATAAAATATTATGGGAAGGTGGATATAGTAAACTTGAAGAGTCGATATCTACATTTGATTCCAAGATACGGTGTACAAAATGCAAATTAACTATGATTAATCGGTCACTGTTATTCAATAGATGTATTTGCATTGAACTAAATGTTCAAAAATTGAAAAGTGGGCCGTTAACATGCAAACTAAGAGATATGCCTGCAATTATTCAATTAAATAATTTTAATTATCGGTGAGTATCAATTATTTATTTTTGTCAATAGCACTAATTGTACTTGAATATTTTTTAATGAAAAAAATTATTGTTTGTTTTATTTTACAGGTTGCGAGGAATAATAGAATGTGAGGCAGGTCATTTTAAATCATATTGTAGAAGAGGCCAGAATTATTGGAGCTTATATGATGATAAAGCAACGACTGCAACAAAAGTTTTATCTTCGAAAGATGTAAAACCTGATGCCGTTATTTTTACAAGAATTCTGTAAAAATGATCCTTTTTCTGTTATAAAAGTTTATTTGTATTTAAACAAAATTAGAAGATTTCTGGCATTAAAAAAAAAAAATTAATTTCATAATTATTACTTATGATCATTAAAATTTGAATTTTATCTCAGCTATAATTTTTTTTAATTAAAAAATACATAAAATCACAATTTTTTTAAAGTGATACTCCGTAAAATGAATCAAGAAGAAAAAAAGTTGATAATTTAGCATAAAAAAGTTAGTAATTTGAAATAAACAAAATGTAATTTTATTCAGAACAATTTATTTTATTTAAATACTTTATTCTTGTTCGCTTATTGTTGTTACTGTTAAAAATTATTTATTTGGTCTTAATTTTTCAATGTTTGTTAATTCAGTAACTCAATTTATTCTTTTATGTTGTGCTTCAATAAGTTTATTTTTTGTGATAAATTAGTTTATTTAAAAGATTTAAAATCTTTTCTATTGTTAATTTAAATAGAAAACATTTATTTTATATCAAAAAACTTATCATCTGTCCCCATAAAACTAAATATTTTTACCGATAATCATCATCAGAAGTTCAAGATGAACAATTCAATGATAATTTCCAAGTACAATACAGTATTATAAAAATTTCATCATATAGCTATTATATCTTGCTGTAACATAATATGTTATTTTTATTGAAGTTGACTATTAAACATTTGTTTAATATTATTTGCCCTTTTGAAGGTTTTAAAATAAAAAAAACTCTGAATTTGATTAAAAATCTGCATTTATTTATTTTATAATAATTAGTCATAATATAAGATTTTAAAATCAACTTTTATTGTACCAAAGTTTCAATAAAAAGTGATGTATACAAATTTGTCTTTTATTGTATATTACCTTTTTTTCTTCTTTTTCGATTGAACAAGCTTTATGAACATTGCATAGATAACACAGTAATGAAATAACTATGTGACATCAATATTATTGATTTGATACGGAATGATCCAACTATATCCGCAATATTTCGAGAGTAATCAACAATAATTCAATAATCAATTTCCATGAAAAATAATTAAAAAAAAATAAAATTTATTTTCACAGTTCATTAGAGCAAAATGTCAATAATTTCTCTATTATCATAATTTTCAGGAATTATTTTTGAAGATTAATTTAATTAAATATTTTTTCAATTATTGATAATCACCATCACTCATCACTATTAATAATAATAATAGCATTATTATTTTTGTTATTATTGAAATAATTACAGTAAAAGCTCTAAAAAGTTACCCAGGTTGTCTTTCTTACTCTTTATGACCAATTGAGACAGAACTACGGTAACTTTTAACAGCTTTCACTGTATTTCTAGGAAATGTAAATAGGAGATTCTTTCTTAAGCATTTAAAACGAAACACCAACAGGTTGATGAAACGATGTCAAAGGCAACGGATCTTTCTCAGCAAATGAGTACATAATAACACCATCTCCAATCAACCAAATTACCATCGTGATTGATTACATTTATGTCGACTCTGATATTCCATAACTGTAAATAAAAAACTTAATTATAGGTATAATAGGTAGAAAATACAATAAAAAATTTAATAGGTAGGTATAATAGGTAGAAAAGTTAAAAAGCTAAAAAAAAATTTGTAATATTTATTTTATTTCCGAAGACTTTATAATGAAAGCATGGAAGCATTGTGTGAAAAAATTATAATCTTGAGAAAATTGTCATGAACGTATTTTTAATTTTACAAACTGATGAGTAAAAAATTATTTTCTAATAAGAAAAATAAATTAACATAAAAAAATCATGGTACTGAAATGAACACATTAAAAATTTTTTTATTCTCAGACAAATAACTTAATTTATAAATTTATAAAAAAAATATCCCACCGAAATTCAAAAAAACTATCAAAGCAAATTTTTGTCAATGAATTATTTTTTTATTCGATCAAGAAGCGAATCTAACATATTGCCAGATGACAGCTAGTTTCAGTGTCACTAAAAAAATATTTTTATACTTCTAAAAATAGTTATAAGTTTCTATAAAAGACTTTTGTGTACCACTAATTATTTTTTTTATAATATACTAAAAATAATTACTTTATTATTGGCGACAATGCGTAAAGATTCCATGTCAAGACACCTAGGGTCCTTGAAACATCTTTCTAGTTGCTTTGTTAAAGCTATGATTTCAGATTGTCTTCCAACTTCAAAGTGCGTTGCTGCCAGTGGATTTAACTCGACATTCATACTCGACAATCCTTCACTTAGACGAGATAATTTCGGCTGTTGAATATCACACGATACATTCGCCATTACCCTGATGAAAATTAGTAAATATAATTAATAAAAATTTATGAAAATAAATACGTTACCAAAATATTGAACAATGCTTTTAAGCAAAGCAATTAAAAAAAAAGAATCAATTTTTAATGATAATTATTCCTGGGCTTTAGAAAAATAAACGATTATCAAAAAAATGTTTAAAGATTACATTGATCATTTTTTTGTAATTTCTGGAAGTGGAATTTGTTTCAAAACTTTGCTTATAATGATACTGAAGTTAGCAAACATCTGTTAAATTTTTACATTTTTATTTCAATTAAATTATTAATAAAGAATTTTATTGAAAATTCCACATCTAGAAACGTAAAAAAAAATTTTAAAGATATCAGATGACTGTTAACTTCACTATTGTTCGCTTAGGATTATTTATTTAAAAAAAAAAATCCCTAAAAATTGTCAGCTTCCTAATTTCACTATAAAAAAACTTCTAATGATTTTTTTCCTAAATTATAATTACCTCTTTTGTCCCAACGATGCTAAACATGATCTTCCAGCTTGATCTGAAGTGCAATATTAATTTTCTTGCTTTATTTAATTTTTTGCCATAAAGTCTCTAATAAAATTAAAAAAAAACTAATTATTTAGGTATAACAAAATATAATAAAACATAAGAAATAAAGTTGAATTAAATAACTTACAAGATTTTCCTCTAGGGTAGCATTTATCAATTTTTCCTCGCATTTTGTAATTGATACTTCCATTATTGTTTATTATCGTTGATGTAAATAATTCAATTTATATAATTAATAGTAGTTATTTACCTATATAAACATAACCTCTAAAAACACACGAGGACTTCTTTACTTTGATTTTCGTTAATTTTTTTAAAATTTCTTTAATTTTAACGTATATCAATGAATAAAGTGAAGCAGTATCACAATTATCACCTGAAGTATAATGCACTGTGTATTAGTGCCCCAATAATTAGAATTTATTTAATGACTTTGTTGTTGTTTCCTCACACAAGTCATCTCTTATATTTACAAACACATGTAGGCAATTAGCATTATAGGCTCATTTAATTTTTTTTATCGGTTTATTTATTATAGGCTTGTAACAGGGCACTTTGCCCCTGATCGATAAAATCGATCGCGCGTGATAATAATTCGACGCAGCACTGGCGTCTCGATCTTCGGGACCCGATAAGACCCGACTAGTAGTAAGTGGGAGGGGGTATTTCGGGGATCCATTAAATAGCTGAGCAGTGCGTTGTGTCGGGAGAAGT